GGGGGGGGGCGGGAAGGTGTTTTCTCTCTATGCTCTGAGGTCACGGTGTCTTTTTTCTCTTTAAGCAGTTTTGACACCAGGTCTGTTCTGCACGCTCGGTACTAAAGTGGTGCCTCTTTCCTTCCATCAGAAACATGCGAGAATGTGGACTGTGGACCCGGGAAGAAATGTAAAATGAACAAGAAGAACAAACCTCGGTGTGTTTGTGCTCCGGATTGCTCTAATATCACTTGGAAGGGCCCCGTGTGTGGCTTAGATGGGAAAACCTACAGGAACGAGTGTGCCCTTCTCAAAGCCAGATGTAAAGAACAGCCCGAACTTGAAGTCCAGTATCAGGGCAAATGCAAAAGTAGGTTTGCAAATCTAACCCGATCTCCCTCAAATGCCAAAGGGTGTGTGTCTGAGTGTAGGGAGGAGGAGCTGTTGGACATGCTTCCCCAACAGGAACCAGAGTGATGTTCGAAATGCGGGGAGACAGTAACTAACCATGTTCAACAGGCAAGGACATAGCTGTACTGAGAGTTCCCCACAGTCTAGCAGCACTTGTGTCCCACCAGCTACCCTGAGATGGGAAGGTTTCCCTCAGTGGCCCTTAAATGGGGAGACCTGCTGAAGCCTTTTATCTGATCATTTGTTTCATTGTGTCACCCATTCACCCCTTGCCGGGGCTCTGGGATCTCCTATTAATCACTGTGTCTTTCTGTCTTTATTTCAGAGACCTGTAGGGATGTTTTATGCCCAGGCAGCTCCACATGTGTGGTTGACCAAACTAATAACGCCTACTGTGTGACATGTAATCGAATTTGCCCAGAGCCTACCTCCCCTGAACAGTATCTCTGCGGGAATGACGGCATAACTTACGCCAGTGCCTGCCACCTGAGGAAAGCTACCTGCCTACTGGGCAGATCCATTGGATTAGCCTACGAAGGAAAATGCATCAGTACGTATCTTGGGTCAGAGGGGTAAGGGTCGGGGGGAACTTTGTATGTGCAATTGGGTGGATGCAGTTAATGCTGGGGAGGAGGAGAGACTTCCAGCAGCCTGGATTAGCGTTTCCCTCCAGGACAAGGAGAGCCAGGGTGGGCTTTGCCCCAGGAAAGATTGCAAAAGGGATGCAGGACTAGAGGGCCTAATCCTGTTTCTCTTACTGTCACTGTGGGTGTTGACATTAGTATCCAAGGGAGAAGCACCCGCCATTAAATAGATGATGACACGGTTACAGTGTAGCAAGGTCTCGATATTCAGTGGATCTGGATTCCTGGAAACAATTGTCTTCAAGTGGTCTTGGCAAAGCTTGCGTTAACTTAATTGGAAACATCTGATCACTTTTTCCTCTTCAGAAATACTGTGGAGTTTGGAGACAGTTGGTGGGTGAAGATAGGAAAATAATCTCTCCGCATCCTGACACATTGTATTGTGATTTCCCAGAAAGGACTGATAGTGAAGTGTGTTAGGAGGAAGCACCTTCAGGGCAGCCTCTGCTCCCCAGAACTGCTGGGGGAATTCGGGGGAGTCTCAAGCTGCTTTTAGTTGGCATAGGTTGAGGTGAATTCCCTTTCCAATCTTGTAGACAACTACTCTGTGTGGGTTAGTTTAAAAATAATTGATTTAGAAATGCTGACTGTGTTGGCAAATTCCGCACTTACCGCTAATTTGGGGAGCTGAATTTCCACTGACATCAAACGGAGCAGGAAGGCCATGTACAATAGGCAAATGTAATTCTGTATTCCCAGGGCCAATCTCTGCTGGCACGGCTGTCTTTCCTCCCCCACATATAGACAGGCAAATGGTGTCCAAGGGACTACTTGCTTGAGCAAAATCAGCAAGTATCATCACATCTACTGCATCTGAGCTCTGTCTGATTCACAGTGCACGGGGGAAAGGGAGTTTGGGGTGGTTTGTTGTTGCTTTTCTTTTTTCTTTGTCTCTTCACTTACCTCTAATATCATGTGTATATTTTTATATAGAAGCCAAATCCTGTGAAGACATTCAGTGCAGCGCTGGGAAGAAATGCTTGTGGGATTTTAAGGTTGGCAGAGGACGGTGTGCCCTCTGCAACGAGCTATGCCCTGAGAGCAAGTCAGATGAGGCAGTCTGTGCAAGTGATAATACAACTTACCCAAGCGAGTGTGCCATGAAAGAGGCAGCCTGCTCCATGGGTGTGCTTCTAGAAGTAAAGCACTCCGGATCTTGCAACTGTAAGTGAGATTTTTAACTCTGCAGGCACTTAAAGCTTCTGAAGGCAATCTCTAGGTAATGAAGACTTACACCTTTAAACATAAGAGAGCCTGATTTAGAGATTGAAGATACGGTACAGGTGCCATATAAGTATGTACCTATCATGCACACACTTTGGTTACTGATAAAATGCAATAGATCCTCAACAGCCAGTTGGCCTTCAAGTTGAGGTTTTGGGGATATTCTGAGGACAAGTCTTTTTTGTCCCAGGAGTGTAATTCTAGTGACTTTTTTTTTTCCTACTTTGTCTGCCCTCGTGTGCTTCGCTGATTGCTTTATTAACACCTGGATAAACTCTTAACTCGGTCCAAAAGAACAAGCTCAATGGCAGCAGATGGGCACCTGGTTTAGCACAGTTGCCTCAACTAACTCTGAATGAAGGACACAAAGCAGTTAAACCTAGAACACAAGAGCGCTTTTTATTTGATTTCTGGAATCTGCCAATAAAACCTGAGCCATTGATTCTTCAGAACCTTCTGCAGTTATGACTTCATAGATTGTGTATAAAAACCCTTATTGCATAACAGCAGATGCCAAAGAGCATCTCACTACAAGTCGCATAAAATGCAACGCTGTATTATGGCTGTTCAGAGGGCTTTGAAAACATGCACTGAGCTGCTTCTGCGCTGTTGTTGTCCCTATTTAAACAACAGCTCCCCTGTATTCCCCCATCTAGCCATTAATGAAGACCCAGAAGACGAGGAGGAAGATGAAGACCAGGACTACAGCTTTCCTATATCTTCCATTCTAGAGTGGTAAAACCTCCATCACTATTGGAACAGCCATTGGGCACAAAATCAGTCCGTACTGTAAATAAGTGTATGCTTATTTATTTTGGGGAGAAAAAAAGTATACATATAGTTGAGTCTCGTAGACATTTATTTATACTGTGTCATGTTTTGTAATTTATACATAAAATGTCTGGTTGACTGTACACCTTGTTTTTTGAAGAAATTTATTCGTTACGGGAAGAGCAGTGTTATTTATTGTGAGGTCTCTTGCTTGTAAAGTAAAGCTTTTCTTTTTTCTTGTGAACTATAAAAGTCCATTCCTTAGAGCTTACCCACATGATCTCATCTCTTTGTTTCACTGATGTTAACTCTTTTCCACTTTAACAAACTTGCATGTCGGTTTCTGTTATGTTTATTTATTGGATTTTCTTCTTGCCGGTTCTGTACATAAAAGATCCCTCGGGTTTTTGTTTACAAGGAATCTTGACTGACCAAAAGGCATTGTAACTGACTTAAGTATACTTCCAGGGTGCAGTGAGGCAATCTTTAAGGAAACTTCTTCCACATCACTTTTCCTTATTTCTGATCACATCATGTACTGAAGTGATCTCACTGTGCTGAGCGTATATACTGTACTATACGAATTCCGGACCCAAAGAAATCGGATTATGAAGGTTGTTAATAGCTACAGGGCTAACTGTAATAAGAATAAAGGTTTTATTTTATTTTTATGGTTTTATTTTTTTGTAACATGCATAAGGGTTTTATCAGGTGTTTCCTTCAAGATGGTCTTGCAGTACCACTTTCAAAGTTTTCCCAATCAGTGTGTCACTAAAAGTTATATCAAAGATTTATCAGTCCAAGTTTCTTGCTTTTCATAATACTTTTTTTCTGATGCAATTTTATATTTTCAAACATGGCGAGTTAAATATAAATTCATTTAAATATATAGTTTTGTACTTTTCTACCATGTAAATGTGCAATGTATATAAAAGTTATAATGTGTATTTGTAAATAAATGATGAGTGAAAAAAATAAAAAATGGAATTTTCCCTAGAAGCAGCCCTCAGTTTTTGCTTCTAAAAGGTTTGTCCCCTCTGGTGCAGAGAAGACATACTGGTGCATAGGAGAAAGGAGGCTGGCACATGGCATAGTAGAGAAGCACACCGGTCAGGGCCAAAGCTTTCAGCTGATGATTCAAGAAACCCTTTTTTCAGGCAGGAACAATGGCTCCAGTTCATTGTTATTAATTAATTTTAAATCCAAGTACAGTAATGGAGGAGAAGAGATTTGGCATTTTTGTTTCCCTCTCCATCCTCTAAACAAAAAATCTGTCATTTCTTGGACAACTTCCATGTTTCTAGGAGGTTTTGGGTATGCATTTGAATTTTTGCTAAGCTTAAGATCCACGTTACCGGGATTGCAGTTGAATCACCATTTTAGATGGCCAATACAAAAAGCAAAATATGGCCTACTTGCCCAAATTCAAGATATGTAACAACTAGCACAAAAGACAAAAAAAAATATCCCAAGAAATCTTCAAAGAGCACATTATCGCTTGGAAATTATTTTGTCCTAAAAGGAAGGTTAATTCAGAAGTTCTTTTTGGTGAACCAATACTCAGATTGGACACACCTTTAAGAGTGGATACTAATAACAGTGAACCGTAGCACAGCAGGGACCAAAATCCTGTTTTATGCTACCTGGGTTATGCTGTTCTCCCAAATAAGGCCCCACTTACCAAAATATCTCTATCGTACTGTATAAAACTTAAAAATGTTACTTAGCACCTTATTCAATAATGTTTTAAGTACTTTGCTGAACTGAGGACTGAGAGCAGGCATTGATTTACCCATTTTGTATAAATACAAATCATATTTGAAGGTTGCTTCTGCTAGAGTCTTCTATATATTTTTTACTATGAACTCGAATTTGTTACGGATTGTTCAGCATTATCCAAAGCAAATAGAATTTATTAATCTATGAATACACAAAAACTACATACATGCATTTATAATATTGTATTCAAAATAACAGCAGAAAAAGTCTGCCCTTCATCCTCCTGTTGCTTCATTTAGACAAGTAGTCTCTTTGGAAGGACGTACACGATGAGAGGAGCAAAGTGAGCACGATTTTGGTCTCCTGAGGGAACAGAACCCAGAATAAAAGAGAACACACAACAAGAGAGGGATGGAAAAAGAACCTATTGGACAAACGAACCTATCAACAATGACGCAGAGACAAAATGTTTAATAGATGTGGAGAGTATCAGAGGACATTTTTCTCAAATTCAGATAGGTGCCAGCTACTTCATTTCCAACAAGATGAAAACATTAAAACACTGATTTTAATTGTAAATATATTTACATGTCTTACAGAGAGACTGTAGCAGAGCAGGATTTCTGGGTTCTAATTTTATGTCCTGCTGCTGATCACAAAATAACTTTGAGAAAGTCACTGACAGCCAAATTCAAAAAAGCAGCAAAAATACCAGGGAGCTATATTTACACCTGTACATGTACACGAAATGGCCACAAAAATTTACATTGGTTTTTTGCTGATAAAATTATCTAAAAGTTCTGCTACTGCCTTTCACATTGCTCCTGCTATTTCTATACAGCTGAAAATCTTGAAACCTATCTTGCACCAAAGCCTGCCTGTGATGTGCAGGTGAGACTCCTGAGAGGCTTCACAAGGTAAGCACCTTCTGAGCATGACTAACATACACCAACCTCGTCATGGAGTACAACAGCCCCACAGACTTTCACCCAGAAACATGTCCAGAGGTTGTGGCAGGACGACTGCCAACACTTTACATAATATCATACTTGTAGATAAGGCATTTGTTCATGAAGTGGGAGATGCAGGTTCACTGCCAGTCTCTTCCTGAGGAGATCTTTCCCACATCTCCCAAGAGTGCATCCACCACCAACTCAAGGTGAAGCTCAGGCTGGAGAACTGTCTGTCATGCCTGCTGAAGCCATACTTCTGTGCTGGAGAGGAAGCCAGATTCATTGAGAGAGGATAATTTGCAACCCTAATAGGTGCTCTTTTTGAAGAGGAAGTTCTGGGTTCTTGCCCCAGGGGCTGCCTACACATTTTGCATGTGGAATTGAGTAACATACATAAATAGTGCTTGAAGCCGGGGCCAGAATCCAGGTTGCCTCCCCTCCTCCTTTCCCAAGTAGGTAAGTGCCTCCATCCATGAGCTGTGAAATCATGTTCAACTCTCTCCTTAAATCAAGATTTCAAATCTCACATCTTTTTGTACATTGAGTCATACTTACAACAGGAGAGGCTTTACTTTTTTCATCCTCTTTTCTAGGCTTGTACATGGGGAACTTCCTGGGAAGTGGAAATGTGAACTTAATTCACTCAGTATAAGGAAGGTGCTGAATCCATTTTTTCTACCTCTTGTCCATTTTGTGTGTGTGTGTTGTTTTGTTTTGGTTTGGTTTGGTTTTGCTTCCTCTCTTAACGAACAGACTATCCTGGCTGTTGTTTAAACGAAGAAACAGAGACGCCTGGATGTCTAACTACAAGAAGGTGGTTTCCAGCTCTGAAACCATCTTGCACAAACTCCTAAAACCAAAAGAGAAATAAATTTTCAGAAATATCTTCCTCTTCAGTGTTTTCTATCGTCTGGCATACATATTCTCCTTGCTGCAAATCACGTTTCTGAAACTCCTAGTTCACCATGGAGTATGTTTTGGTACTGAATACCAGGCCCATGAACTCCATTCACAAATGCAGGCACAATAACACAGAGTGGATCATGCCCATATCCTGGCACTTAAGTAAAATCAGCTTCATTCCAAGAGACCCAGCTTGAGGCATTTTAACGGTAAGAACATTGCCTCTAAAGCCCTGGTTCCCAAATGTATTTGTCTTTGCAATACATGCAACCAAGTATACGCAATTTTGATGACACTCAAATGCATTCCTGATAGCTGTGTTCATATGACAGACTTAAGAACAGTGTCATGGATCTCTTTTGCACCTTTTACCTCTTTGCTTGCTTTCTGCCTGCTAATACACCTCAACTAAAACTACATTCCAAGCTTCTCAGCAAATTTCAAACAGCTGCCATTTCTTTTTTTATGATATAAAAATGTTTCCTTCTTTCCCTCCAAATGGGAATCAGGTGAAATTAAATTTCAGCATGCAGTGCTGCTCTCTAGGCAGTGACATTTTACTATACAATGAATCACCAGCACAGAAACATCTGTATCTTATCCCTTTGAAGAACTAGGATTCCATGCTTTCTGGTGAAGCATAACATTTGTACATAGACCAAGGGGTTCACAAGATATCAGATTTTAAATTCATAACTCCCTGAAGATAAGGCAATTACGTTTTTTGTTTGATACTTCTGTAGTTCCAAGGCCTGCCTGACCCATTACGGCAGCATGAATTTTGCAGGTAGTATATGAAAAATAGTATGCACTAGTTAACTTTTAAATTATTTTTTTTTCCTGATACACATAAATACATAATGGACCTCTGTGGCTGAATTTTGCTGACACTCATTTGGGATCATCGATACAATTCACATTCATTCATAACTCCTTAACAATGTGGCCAATGAAATTACCACACAGTGGAGAAATATGAAATGAAAACAAAGCACAAGCAATAATGTTGAGCTCAGAGACTGATTTGGAGTTAAAACCACACGTACAGCTTGTATTCCTGTAATGTACAGGTACGTTCTTTTGATCTCTTAATCTTCAAATGGATTTGTTCAGTTTCACCATGGGATTGAAGACCACTAATGTGTCAGAAAGCTGAGAAGGAACTCTGGACTTTGATAACAGCTAATCAGACCCACAGATGCTACAAGATAATGAGTTTACCAAGGTGGTCCAGTGTAGATCTGAATGTGTAAAGGCCCCTGAATTTCCACCAGTGCCATTCAGTAATAACATCTGAATGTCACTATGCTTCAGTGAGGTCTACAGATACTCAGAACTCCTCAAAATGAAACCACAGCACTCACATTCAAGAACTACAGTTTAGTCACCTGGT